AACTCGAAACGCTCAGTTTCATTGCAACGGTCGTCTGCGACTATTGTAAATACGATGGACGGTAAAAGATAATAAAATGATATAGGTACCTGCCTAAACAATTTTGAATAGTTGTCGAAACTACAATCTAAACAATATTAATGTGCGGATCGACACGAAACGGTCGTGTGCGACGCTTTTTCTTTACTAATTTTAAAGTTACGTCGCGTCAATCGCACCTCGCTAGTAGGATAGGTGCAGTGGCGTATTTTATAAAGGGGGACGATGGGAGCGATTGCCCCCTACATCAATTAATGTGTGTAGGTATTTGCTATATGTATACAAAATTGTAATATTGCTAGAAAAGTGTCATCAGACACAAAAATAAAAATAAAAACACTTCATGGTAAGACAAATAGAGTAGAATATCAGCTTGTGTATAATAATTTTAGTGTCGCTACCTCCAAAAACCTAAGTCAAACAGAGGAGCTGTGTACAGGGGGGCTCCGTGAGCTTGATAAGATGGAGCTCAGCCTCTCACCGTTGTCATATTATTAAAAAAAATCAATATTCTTCACGTACATCCTCAAAATACTTATTTTATTTTTAACACGCCCAGTGGCGGATTTATGGGGGGGGGGATCCAGATTCCCCCCTCCCCCAGACACTAATATAATTTCAATAAAATGTCGTTCAAAAAAGAAGCATCTATTTAATAGAGATACCTATTAAATATATATTATTTTTCAGGACCCCGTCCAGAAACGTCCGGCACAGAACCGTCGGCGGCGGCGTGCGTGTATTGTAGCACTCTGACGGAGGTCTGGGGGGCTCTCATAACGACGACTGGAAACAATAATATTATTTTCCTTACGGTTCAAAACGGTCTACACGACATATCATAACAACGCAATACATTATAGCGACCATCTTTATTTATTCATCATAATTACAGTTGTATAAAGTATACGTTATAATCGATTTGTGACGGGGAACGTGGACTTAAGGCTATCTATGTTTGTATTAGGGTGCCTTCTCGACTCGCGCCATAATAATATAATATCAAAACCTATAATCCAAAACGATGGTTCGCCGGAATTATACGGATACCTGGTCTAAACGTGTCATTATAATATATTATACGATAATAGGATGGGAAGGAGGTGGGGAGAAGACGATTGTTTTCGACGGTTTCGGCCAAAGTCCCCGTCCCCTTTTTATAATATTTTGTGCACCATAGAATTGGGATTTTGTTTGTTTTTTGTTATTTATTTATTTTTCCCGAAATTCGCGAGCTTATTATTTTTATAATGATAACAATTTACCGCGTATCCAGCCGCACAAATAGAACAAGTGCGTGATCGGTTAAGTCATTCATATTTGATACGAATATTATATTATTATAGTGTACTACAGTTCCTTGGGTAGGGGGAATTATTTTTGTGCTTTATAGCCCGGCATATTTTGTACAATAGAATAATATTTGTCTTTGTGACTATAGTTTATCGAATGATCGCCGATGACGAATAGAATTATTAAAACATTTAAAAAAAAAAAAAAACAATTGGCGGGCCATTGGTTTTTGATAATGTTAGTGTTAGCGGAGTATTTACAATGGGAAATTAGAGGGATATATATCCAACGACCTTCCTTGGCCGTCTTTTAATGTGTATTATTAATACGAGTACCTTTATTTTAAATTCAAATTTCTTGATATTTCAAAAAAAAAGTAAAAAAAATAAAAACTCGTATACATTTCCTTCATTAAATAGAAACCTATAACTGAACCACTACAATATGAAGGAGGTTAAAGTATATCAGTAATTCATAAATTAATAATGATTACTTATACCTAGTTATTCGAGTACACACATTTTTGAGTACATTAAATTATAAATTAATTAAGAAAATATATACATTTTTTTTAACCTGAGTAGTGAATACACGTTATACAAGTACAATATTGTGTGGTACAATTTTAGATAAAAATATCTTCCTCTTTGGCAAAGTCCTAAATAGGAAACTATATTAGTTGTAAAAGAGTTGAGTAAGTATGTATAGGATACGGAGTAACTCACAAAACAAACGAAACACGTTTCTAAGCCAAACTAACTGGTAAAGTTAGATAACTGTGTTTATTTTCTTAGATATCCAAGTTAATCTGCAATAATCAATACAAGTACAAACCAATTTACCGTCGTTTTCAATATCAGTTCTTTGATTTTTGTTTTTAGAAAAACTGTTGAGAATATCTAAATTGCCACCGCCGGAAAATCTGCATATTTAAAGGTACGATGTAAATTATTTGGAGCATTTCCACTAAACAAAAATATATTGGGAAAAAAATTATTTAGAGTATGACTGATTGAGAATTTTTAAAAAAAATTGTTTCAAAGTACTATCGAGCGGAAATTCCGCACCTCGTGTAGGTACTCCGTAAAAACACCGGAGCATTACATACTTAGAATCTAAAGACACGACTACTTTTTGTTTAAAATACGTAAAAAATACACTTCGGTAGAAATGTAGTTGTTTTTTGATTTTCCTTGATTTTCTTAATAATTATTTTAGATTTTGAGTGGAGCGAAGTTTTACAAAGATGTTTATTTTTTTTTTTTTAATCTGTACGCAACTTTTCTACCAGTAATCCTACTCCGGATTTTAGGTGTATTATCTTTTCCAAAAGGAAATCTGACTGGAAACGTACTTTAGGGAGGTTTAATTACCCCCAGAGTTTCCTCAGCAAATGTGAAAAACCCGAAAAAAACGTAGGAAAAACAAAAAAATCGAAACGACATTAAACAAATATTATTAAAGAAAATATATAATGCCTATTTGATTGAAGGATTTGGCGCGTGCCTAACCAAAACCCTACCGCACCAAACGTATACGCGTAACTTTTGCGCGGCCGTCGCGTGATCGCCGGGGAGGACGCGTCGACATCGGATCGGCCGGCGTTTCGGGAACGCGGATTTCCGATATCGTCCCGCGTGCGTTCTTTCTAACGCCTGGGCGTGTGTGCTGCAGATTTAGAAGAAAAAAAAAACCGTCAAACGACACGAGAGCGGTGCGCGCGACAAACGTTGCGGCCGGAGACGAGCGTGGGCTGCGGTCGCGGTGCGCACCGTATTATGTTATTGTAAATAGGTATTGTTATTATTATTCCGACGTTTTATTATTTTATAACCCGTAAAAACTCGTCCGGGCCCGTGTACGTTTAACCTTCAAACGAGAAACCTACGGCCGCCGCCGCGATTCGACCGGCACAAAATATTATTCCGACACCTCCCCGCCGCCGCCGGAGACGAAAAAAAAAACGAAACGCATTGACGCATACCCGGGGACGCGTCGTGACGACCGTCGATATTATTCTTCTTCGCTTCTTTTACGTCTTCTTTACGTTTGATTGGTTCGCTGCGGATCTCCAACCGTCCCCAGCGTTACTCAGTTCCTTTAACCCCTTGTAGCTATCCTACACCCGTGTCTATCATAATTCGGTCAATTTACTCCATCCTTGGTCTTCCTCTTCCGATATGACCTTTAAACTTCACCTTCTATGACGACGCGTTTCGTCGGGCTATCGTGGCGTAGTAGATGTCCCGTCATTTTGTCTCTCCTGAATTTTATACCAAAGTTCTCGGTTTTTATTTTTATTCTATCTAATACTGCTTCATTCGTTATTCTTTCAATCCATTTAATTTTTAACATTTTACGATAACACCACATTTCGAAGACCTTTAGTTTCATTTTTTCTGCTGTACTGATTGTTCAAGTCTTACAGCCATGTAACGCGATGCTCCGGACATATATTTTCAAGAACTTTTTCCTTGCGTCTAAGGTCACACTATTAGTGGTTAATAGGTGTTTTCTTAATAATAATAATAATAACAATATATTTATTTAGCAAATCGCAAACAGTATTTAAATATTTATAAAATAATAACAATGAAGATTTGCAACTCCCAATTGGGCATAGCTTGTATCGGTTGGTTAAAAATTGAGTTGCGATATATCTAAATAGATTAAATAGATCAAATTAAATATATATATATATATATTATTAATTCGTAGAATGACTTAAATTAATTTTTAGAATTCTACACTGTTTTACTGCGATGTAAAAGGAGCTTTTTACACCAAATTGTTTGTAGAAAATAGGAACACAAATATTTATACTTTCTTTGTAATGTGTACTATAGTTGTGAGTGACATGATTAAAATTATTGTTAAATTTGTAAAAGGTAATTAGAACATTCTTATAATATACATTTTTAATAAAAAGTAAATTCAACAGGTCATAAACAAAATTAGTACTGGTAAACATAGAGGTATCTTAAAAATAAATTTAACTACGTGAGTTAAAGTAGAATTTAAAGAAACAACATGAGAATTATATGCTTGATCCCAAAAAAACAATATCATAATTAATAACTGATTGAACCAAAGATAGATACAACATTCGTTTCATAGTAATGTTAAATATATTATTATGATGTACATCATCATGAAAAATATAAAAAAATGTACATACAATATTTTTCAGATTATCAATATGGAAATGAAGAGATGAATACATTTTTTTTTTTTTTTTATTATTCTAAAAAGCTCTCTTTGCTTGTGCTATTCTATTTATAATATCATCTATACTTCGGCCATCAATTATTATACTATTATAATAATAATATTATCGTGTTATGCGAAAATACCGCGAAACATCTCGGCTCAAAGACCGAAAAATGGACCCCGGAAAAACGTTTAAACCGACCGCGATAAATCACGCGAGTGTTGGCGTGGCCGGCACACGGCCACGTAATAGATATTTTATTGCCGCGGGGCAGTGACTAAAGGCTATCGGTTTAAAAAACATAAAACATTACATTATGTAATCCGATATATTACGGCCCTCTCGATTCTTGGGGTACATATTATATAGGTACACACTGTAGGCTGTGCGTAATACTCTACAGTGTTTTATATGTCCATCCGCAATTACATAGAGACGTGGACTCAGCGGGACCGGATTAAGAGTTTACCGGGCTTGGACTCCTAGACTCCGTGCTTAATCTGGCCCTGCCGACCGACTCGGTGGCACATACAGTTTGGTTGGTGGTGGCGGAGCTTTCAGACTAGAAGAGAAAAAAAAAACATCTTAGTAAAACCTCGCTACGCTCGGAATCTAAAACTTAACTATTTTTTATACATTGGTCATTACTATAGTCTATAAACTATAATGACATATTGTGATATAAAAACACCAATATAAATCGATTATCTTTGTATATGTTTAAAAGGGGGATGATAATTGTAGATTATGATAAGTGGTGGGATGTCGTCCCCCGTATCACCCGTATCCCCCCACTTCGACCTCTGCTTATGAGCGTATACGTCGTTTGTGTCTGAGTCATGCGATTAAAAAAAAAATAATAATAAATTTATAAATTCGGAGAGAAACACTATATTCAGTTGTATGAGTGTAACAACAGTGGATAGTATTTACACGTGAGTAATCCACGTGAACAGTGAACTCAAACACACCGTCACAGTAACATACGAAACGACAGTTTCGGCGTGGAAATAAAAGAAAAATAATATCTCTTGTTATTTAAGTTCGGCACCTACATAAAGAGTGCAGTTTTTTTTTAGAAAAAATCTAACCAACTAAAGCTTTTATACACACCGCTATTCGCGAGTTTAGTATCCGCAATACATTCAGCGAACACTCGCACGCGTTTAACGATATTTCCCGTCGTCCCCGATGACGGTCATGATTTGTCTCAGCGGTTCGTGACTATTTTACGATATATTATTACGGTTACGACGCTTCACACTGTCGTGTGTAATACGCATTTTACGGCTATAAGGTTTTCGGGTTTTAAGTGTTTTACAATGTCCGTACGAACGTGTAACGCCCCGACTTTATAATAATATAATCCCCGTACAGTTTATAATAATCGTTGTAATATACCTGTTTGACCGTTTCGAAAGTTTCTATAATGCCCGCGTGTACGGCGTATACCTATATCGTTATGCGTATATTACACCGCGGCATAAAATATTTATTTTTTTTTTTTTTTATCGCGTCTCGTAAGACGTGAAGTGTAGTGTAGGCAGGCAGCTGGCAGGTTACGGTTTTTTCGTGGTGTACACTATACATGCGTTATAGGTACGTGGAGGTTATCGTTGTGATAACGTCGTTAATCGGCTCATAAATCTGGGTAGAAAAAAAAAAAAAAACGAGAACCTTGGTTTAAAAATGTGTTTGAAATTAATTTCTTATGTAAATGCGGTCGCGAGGGCAAACGGCCGGGAAATTATTGTATACGGAACACGGATCGCGCTGCACCTTCTCGTTTTTTTTTTTTTTTTTTTTAACATTAATTACTGACAGGGGCGTATAAATTCTCCGGAGATTTCCTAAACGATAAAAAGTTTTTTTTTTTTTTTACGTGTAATACGATAGTGCAGCGGTCGCAATACGTTTTATCCGTGGTAAACTTTTTATTATTATTATTCCGAAAACCGTTTAAATTAAAAATTTCATCCGGCAATCACGTATACACCGTTCGTTGTTATAATATATATTATTATATAGAAACGCACACGAGAACCTGTGTCAAAAAAAAAAATTAAGTAATTTTTAAAATATTTCATTCGAACATTATACTATGTTTTATAACTATTGTTGCATAATATTATATTTCAGATGTAAACAAATTTGAATGCGTGCTACTTGAATCGATTTGAAAATATAAAATTTTAAATTCGCATTCCATAAAAATGCACACGTTTTTTTTTTCTACTACTTTTTCTACTGTTTCAGGACTCGAGTTAACTTCCCGTACCATTTACTGCATATTTTCTTGAAACCCCCTCACTTTCCTACTGTCCGTGAGTTTCTCTACATCATACTTGACAGTTGCCGAATTTATTTTCCTATTCATTGTTTTTAGCTTGACCCTAAGGTCACTTGCTACTAAAAAATGGTCCGAGTCACGGTCAGTTCCCCTGTACGTTCTTTCATCCGTTATGTTGTTGGCGAATCTTTCATTTATCAATATATTGTCTATTTGATTTGAGTATCTACCATCATATGACATCCACGTCCCTTTACTGCCATATTACTTGTACCTATACTTCCTATTTCTTTCCATCTGATTACCTATAGCGCGACTACTCCTAAACCGTATCTTTCTACTACTTTGATCATATTTTGTGTAGCATCGAGTTTGTTAAGTGTTCGTACATTCCGAGTTCCAAAAGTAGGTTCCGTGTTTCCGTTTCCATTTCGTTTTGTATTAAATCTAGTCCGAGGATTATTCTTAGGTTCCTGAACAAAGTATTTTTATAAGGCAGGGTTATTGGCCCTGCGCTTAACCCCCCCCCTACCCCTAGAGGGGTAAGTATAGATAACTAAATCTGTAACAATAAATGCATGTATATTGTTAAAAATAAACGGATAAATAAATGAGTAATAATAATAAATAATAATGGTAAAACATTTGATGACTGTAAGTAATTTCATGACACGATTCGATACTATCGTATTAATTCATAAGTCGTAAACTAAGTCATCCGTTATAATATATTGTCAATTACTCGCCCATAACAGCGGCCTATTCGCGGCCAGTATATCGCGTACAAAAGAACGTATAGAGACTGTGTATGTAAAACCCGTGATATTTTGGCGGTTTCTTCTCCCCCGCCTCCCGCCGTCTTTTTAAAACAAAACCCTACAGGCTACGTCATTGTCCAGGCGTACGGTATTTTTCAGTTTTGATTCTTGCCGCGGGGATCGGTTTATAACAAAACGCGATTCACCCTTGTTTCGGTCGTTTGTCGCGGTATCTTAGCTCCGAGTCTCGATCACAAAAGCCTTATGCTGTTCCCCCGGCTACGAAAATCGTCCGTTTCGTCGCCACGTCCCGGCGTACGCCCGTCTCCTCGTCTTTAATACGTCCGTTAGCGCGGTTCGTTTTTCTTTCGGCAGGCGCTTCGAACGTATTCGCAAGTCTCGCCGCCGTACAAAGCGGCACGCCTGGCACGAGTTTTAATTAGCCTCTTTTCGGCCGTTGTCGTCGTGTTTTTTCGCCGTCGGGGCTCTACTGACGCACGGTCCCGGACGCTGTGTTCCACTGACTGATATCGTTACACGCCGTCGTCTCCCGCGCTAAAGTCCGTTCGTTTTCTCTGTCTCTCTCGCGCGCGCGCCCGCACACACACGGCCTCCGCCGGACCTCCGCGCGTCCATTTATCGCGTCCGTTTCCGAACGCGGGCCACGACGATCGTGTAACGGCCGTCACCGCGACGAAACCGAACGTTACCGTCGCGTCTGACAAACACCGTATTGCGGCCCGGTTCGTATACACCGCATTGTGTACCGCGACGGTACTCGTACGCACGCGCGCGCGTTTTTTTCACATTAAATATTTGAATTGCTCGGCCGTTACAGGGGTATCGTTTACCGCGCGAATCGAATGTACGCGGCGGACGAGCGAGCGGACGGCGCGCGCACGCACGAAATCGGTTTCCACCGAAACGGTTTGAACCGCCGTACGCCTCCTACTGTTACGAGTACTAGCCGATGGCATCGAACAAATTAACGTGTATACTTGCGGCGGCGGCGGCGGCGCGTTTTTTAAGCGTTTTAACGATAACGAGGACCGCGGACAAAGCGCACCGTTATTTAAAATAACAAGCGCGACTGTCGCGTTATGTTTTATTCCAATAAACGGCTATCCGCCACCTGCATACAGGGTGGTACTCAATTGTTTTTTTTTTTTTATCGATTTCGATTTTTTTCAACCGTTATAAACGGCAGCTTTGTTCTGACCGACTGACTGCGTGATCAACGCACAGCCTGTACCGCTGGGGCGGGAAACTGAACGTTTTCACGGCAGTTATCTCGTGTACCGTAGGCATCTACCGAGGAAGGATTTTTGAAAATTTCGACTCTAGAATTCAGAGGAATTTGCTTGATTTTGCTAAAGCGTTTTTTTTTACCTCTATTGCCACCGGGGAAAGTTTCGAACCGTTGTCAACACCGGCACATTCGTGTGTGTTGTGTTTTTCGTTTGAAAAACATTTGTTTTTTACTAAAACAATTTGTAAAAAAGTATTTAAGGATTTAAGTTTTTCAAACAGAAACATAATTTTGGTCTTAGTCAGACAATGAACCGGTGTTGACAACAATTTTAAACTTCCCCCGGAGGCGATGAGAGTCATAGAAAAACCCAAAAGCGCCGTAACAAAATCCGACAATTTCAGCTGAGTATATTGGCATATTATTTTTTTTTTGGAATCGGACAATGTGCCGACGCAGCCCCAAATATAGCACTCGGTATGTTTGTGGATTTCCGAAGTTTGTGGGCCCTGGCAAAATCCGAAAATTCCCTAGAAAAATCTAGCGAATTCCTATCAAAATACTGATACTGGTCGTATAGATAGTCCACGGCATAATGTGCCGGTGCCAACTTGATGGACATGACAAACGCCGCCAATAAATTTCTTTTTATTCAATGTATATAAATATATTTATTTTTTTTTTTTAACAATAAATTATTAAAAAGCCTTATTATTGCCTCGCCATTCAGAGATGAAAATTGAAATTTGAGAATTTATATTATTTAAGTAAAAAAAAAAAAAAGACGGGGGAGGGGAAGTCTGCAATCATAATACAAATTATACAACCGCGCATATATTACGTATAGAATTTGTAGAAAGAAGAAAAATCCAGACTAATAATATTTAGGAATGTGTTTTGAAAACTTACGAAAAAAATATATATTACTAATAATTTAACGTTAAAATGAAATCAAATAAAATCGTACAATATTCTTAATATTTTAAGTGAAACAAAAAAAAAAAAATTACAAATTTCAGTTAGGTATTCACCCAGTCTTGCCGGTGTATATTCGACCAGTTTGTGGGAAGCAAAGGTGGCAGTGCAGGCGCAGGTATACAATATTATATTTTTGTTTTATTATTATCAACAATTTCAGGACTACGTGCTCGCGGTTTTCGATACCCAACATCAATTATGTACTCATCATAATAATATTTTGGGCTCTGTACCGGGCCATTTTTAACGGATATTCACTGCGCTCCCCTCTCCATTAAAAATAAAAATAAGATCTACGAGTAAAAAGCCCCAATCTCATCGTTTTTAGCACCGGTGTACACATATCATATGATTTATCATTAATTTTAGTGAACATACAAAAAACGTTTTTAAAAAATTGCCAGAATATTCACGGTCGGAAAGCGCGTATGAAAATAACATTCGGAACTACGGACGATGTCGTGTGTTCAAAACTGTACGAAAATAATACTCGGCCACCGACCAGAAATAATAAGAACAAAATAATAATAATTTTATCGATATTATAATATATACTGCTGAGCCATCTGTCCGTAGAACCTGCAAGGGACAACAGCGATGTATGTTCGCCGCTAGATCGCGTTGTTTACATTTAAACCGCTCAAATGATTTTCCCGTTTTGCTATCGGTTTTTTAAATTTTTTATTATTCTTTCACGCCGGATGTTTTAATAAATACTTTACAAATAATAAATAAAAATAAATAATGATGTCTGTATACAATCGATAGGCTCAAAAACTGTTAGAAATACGTTTACTCAGTTTTTGCAAAATGTTCCGCGTTTTCCGGAATATTGCTATTGAAATAGTCATTTTCTAAAATTCGTTATTTAATTTTTTTTTTTTTTATCATATAAATCGAGTTTATTTTTGTTGATTTATGGGCTGCTTTAGTAACACGGATGAAAAAAAATCTGTTATTATCTATATGTTAATATTTATGGTAATGACCAACATAATGTAAAGCTACGTCCACAAAGGGCCGTATTTAAAAAACGGGGTAAAAAACGGCACGAAATGTTCTTATCAAATTTTACCAAAACCTGCAAGAGCTCCCAGTGGATTTATTAGTTTGTTATTATTCATTATTAGCATTATCATACTATAAACATCCGCCGTGAGCGCTGGCAGTGAGCAGGTTTTTGTTATTATTGATAAAAACGTTAGTAAGAGTAGAGTCCACTTTTTCGAGGATCGTTGCGCGACCACGTTATCCATAGCCGTGATTTTAATATGAACTACGGTTGTATTTTTGTCGACAAACAACCGTGACATTACATGGTGATTATCATCAATCATTATTGTTATTTGTATTGATCATGGTCTGAGACATTATTATATTCTGTAATTCAATAATTCATTAATCCGTATATATATACATTCGTTGTGATGACACGTACAACGTTTACAAAACTCGATCTAATGAAAAATGTGGCATTCCAAGTTTAAAAACAAGTAACCAACGTAACAGATTTTTTTATGAGGGCAACAGTGACGAACACGTCTATGACGATGAATTTGAACATTTCAAAGTTAACAATTACTTCGTGTTTTGAGACCAGATTAAATCGAATTTAGAATCGAGGAAAATTGCTTATGAAAATTAATTTAACTTCTAAGTATAATCTTATTTATCGCCTATCGGAGTCAACACCTGCTAAAGTTCGATAAAAGTCCGACTCATTGCAAAATGTTAAACATTAAAATAATAATTAAAAAGAACGTAATATCTTTGTATTAAAAATAGACATCCTAGGATGATGTGGACGGGTGCGGCCACCGTTTTAGTTAATTTAATGTACATCTGTTAGTAACGATCAACCATTGCTAACGAAAAGACGATTCTGAGTGGAGTTCAGTTGACAGTGTAGTTGCTTTGTCAACAATATATATGTCAAATCATTGTAAAATAATTACATAGGCAATAAATATTTTCTTTAAAAATATTTTTTTAATATTGTACTTATTTTCTCGATTTCTTACGGTTTTCCCGCGGTTTTTTCCTAAGTTTCCCGTTTACTGAGAAAACTAGTGAAAAAATCAAAAAATAGCCTCTCTCAAGTACCTCCCCGGATCGATTTCCTTTTAGAAAAAATGTTACCATTATAAATCGTAGCAAAATCGCTGGTAAAAAACAAGGTTCATAAGAAAAAGCCGTAATATTTTTTAACCAATACATACATTTCGGACGTTTTCCCGTTTTTCCTCAGTTCTTTTTTT